GTGTGTGTGTGTGTGTGTGTGTGTGGGTGTGTGTGTGTGTTTGTATGTGTGTGTGTATTGGAAGTATTTTTCGCGTAAAACTGTATTTTACTTGTTATTTTTAAATTTTATTGTAATTTTTTTTCCTCTAAGTTTCTTAAAATGTATAATTAATTTACTTGAAGTATGTAATAGATGTACATGGGAAAATGAGTGTAATTATGTTTTCCTTGGTTTCATATATACAAATAAATATTAGTAGTATTATAGCTCTCATACTTAATGAAAATCATATCATTACAACTTTGAGACAAACTATATCAAATTGATCAAAATATTAATGATATGTATTTACAATAGTTTAGGAGGGAAAACTTGAGCTGCTTGGCTTTTATATATATATAGATATCAGAAAGATGTTCTATGTTTTGCGGAAAGTAAGGCATATGTAGATTGGGGTTTGTATTTAGCTGTAAGGATTTTGTTTTGGATTGTGTTCTAACAATCGTTTATCCACCGTCAAGTTGGACGGTCCTATTTTAGTTTAGGTTGTGAATAAAGTCGTCAACGAATCGAACGTTCGCAAACAAGTGTCCGTTCGTGTTTGACAAAAGCTCGTTCATTTGTTATTTAAGTTGAGTTTGAATAGAAAATTAAGCTCGTTTAATAATCGAACGAGCTCGTTCGCTAACGTTTGATAATGATCGCGAACATTAATTTAATATAATTTTAGTTTTGAGTTCGAACAAACAATGTTCGAGTTAATTAAACATATTAAATGACAATCATTAGGCTTGGGACCCACCTTGTAGAACCACACATCGCAGACAAATCGCATTAAATGGGATCGAGAACGATACCTGTGGGTTTCTTACTATAAATACCTGATGTAGCGCAGCAATTAAACGAAAGGGAACAAGATGAGAAAACTCAATCGATAATTTTTATTCTTCAAAGTCTGCTCTCTTTCAAGAGGAAAGGACAATATATAGAGACCTATCAAACCTAAATCCTTAATTTCCTAAATAAATTAAAATACCAAAGGAAATAAATTATTCATCTACTAAATAGGAAAAGGAAATAAATCACCATAATAAAATAGATAGGAAAATAATAATCAAACTAAAGATGGTAAACGATCATATTTGTCCATGAATGCCATCGCGATCTCGTCTCCATCAATACCACTCATTTATAACAACTGATTCAACATATTTTTAATAAGGAAATTCTCTAATTCGTAGTTACGTATTTCGTATAACAACTTATTAGCCGTAGAGGAAGATCTCATATTGTTTGTGGATACGATTAAACTCGAAAAACACCACATTCGCAATTGTCACATCATAAAAAAAAAATGATATCACCTAGTTAAGAGGCGGAATCACTGCCGCAAGCAATGGAACCACCACGTACGTTAGCTCCCTCCATCGACATCCCACCATTATTCCAAAACCCAGAGTTTCTCGAGGGTATAGTAAACCTCGTGGCTCGCATTACCATCAATGTTTAATGCAACGCCGTCAGAGATCGATACGTTCAAGACAACAACGAAAAAGACACTCATCCCACCAGAGACAAGGGCAAGGGACTAGCCTTGTCTAAAGCCGCGACCCAATCTTTGGATGGTGTAACGAAAAAACTTGGAAAAACCATAAATGGAACTCGAACAGAGGAAACCTGAGAGAGTAGATCGGTCTCCAAACACAAGGACATGTCCCCTAACCCCTCAGTTTTCACCCAGCTGAGAAAGATAGATGCCGACAAAGATATCAGGCAAAAAATCCGAGGAGATGTTTGTTATGTTTTTGTGCTTATTTTTATGTGTTTATATGTGTTATCGAGTCATTTTTAGGTTCGTTTTAGTGTCATCCAGTCCATTTTGTCATTTTCCGTGTGTTTTCGTGTTTTTGTTTTATTTTATATTTTGGCGTACTTGTCCGTGTTACTGTTGCATTTTCAGATGTTTTCCGAGTATGATGAGGA